ATGGCTACAGACAAAAACTTTTAACCCTTTGATGCATAATGGTCACTACAGTGGACAGGTACTCAAAATTGTTATTTATTTGTTTTTGCTATTAAGCACAGCTGTTGAAGACTTTATTGCATTCGAGCCCCTCCGTTTGGACTTCAGTAAGCCAAGCCAACATATTTCATGCTCAGAATGCACGTTGTCCACTGAAGTGGACATGTAATAAATTATTTGTAAATTATAAAATTTTACAAAAAAATATTTGTTGAAATTTTGTTTCATTCACACCTAAAGACGAATGGAAAAAAATGTAAAAAAAATCATGGTTGAAGATTTCATAATTCATGCATCAAAGGGTTAATTATGTTTATGCCAATGAAATGCAAATATTGTCCTGTCATCAAATTTTTTACATTTTCCTCAGAGCTTCTAAAAATTGGTTCAAACTCTACAAAAGTTGATTTACTTAAAATTCATCTCACCTGGCTGTTGGATTAGATTTAGAACACACACGAATGTTAATCATGAGGTTGGTTTTACCTCCAGGGCTGGTGGTGTTTCCATCAGGGAGAATGGTGCTATCACCTGGGGAGCTGGCGGTGGAGGAAGGTGAAGAGGATGGGAGTCCTGTGTTAGCCGTGACCATGGAGGATGGAGAGACAGTCAACGCAGTGGACTCAGGAAGGTTAGTGGTAGTTAGTGCAGCAGTTTCTGAGCTGGTTTGCAGGGACTCTGGAGTGGTGCTGATGGTTGGCTGTGTGGTGGCTGCAGCCATAGTGGAGTGGTTGTCTGTGTGTGTAACGGAGGTAGTTATAGTTGCATCACTGCTGGGTGCAGTGGTGGCTGTAGCTGGGCTGTTAGTATTTGTGATTACTGAGCTGGTACTTGTGGATGCATTTGCAGTTGTGTGGTCACTCGTAAATGTGACTTGTGTATTGGTCGTGTGGTTGTTCGTAGTTGTGCTGCCTATGGTTGTGGTGGGTACACTTGCAGTTGAGCCACTTGATGGAACGCTGTTGCTTGTGTACGTTTCTGTAGTTGTGGTTGTGACTGGTGAGCTAGTCGTGGTTGTGTGGGTAGTTGAAGGTGCAGTGCTTGTTTCTGCCGATGCAGTTGCAGAAGTAGAAGCTGATGATGTGTCAGTTGGACTTCCTGTGGTGATGCTCGCAGCAGTGGTAGAGCCATCGGTTGTCCCTACAGTAGATGTCATCACGGTTGTGGATGTATTTGTTGGATAGTCTGGGGTTGTAATAACCACTGCTGTAGTCGACCAAGTGCTGACTGAGTAACCGCTGCTTGAGGTTGTGATATCAGAAGCTGTAGAACTGGGGAGCATACTTTCTTCTGTGGTTATTGTTGTGTCTGTAAGAACTACAAAAGCACAGGAAGTCAGCTCTTTATCCCTTCAACGTTTGACACAACTCATATAAAAATATCAAGTGGTCAAAATCTGCAATGTGACAAACACAACAGGAACTATTTAATGTTGGCATTCATTCATCTGTCCAGTGAATTACTACCACAGTCACAACAGTCTAACACACCCAATAGAACACATACAACTAATTTTTAACACTTTACTCAGACTTAGGTCCTCATGGGTACCTGTCCTACAGGATGTAGTCTTTTGTCTTCCAACACATCCAATTCAACACTTATGCCCTAAACCTCTTCTGTAGAAGCCTGATGCAAACCAGGTGTGTCGGAGCAGCAGAACAACTGAAACATGCAGACCTGCGGCCTTTCACATGTTTGATTTTGTTCAAATCAAATCAAACTTTATTTATAAAGCGCTTTTCCTACAAGGAATGCAACTCAAAGTGCTTTACACACACACACACACACACACACACACACACACACACACACACACACACACACACACACACACACACACACACACACACACACATAACAATGATTAATTAAAATATGCAAAGCAAGTAATCTTCTACAATAAATAATAATCATGTAAAAGCTAAGCTAAAAAGTGGGTCTTGAGCCTGCTCTTCAAAACATGAACGGTCTCTGCGGCCCTGAGGTCCTCCAGCAGCCTGTTCTAGAGGCGAAGGCCATAAAACTGAAAAGACGCCTCACCATAAGTATGTGTCCTGACTTTAGGGATAGCCAGGAGCTGGCTGCTAGAGGAGCGCAGAGGCAGCGAGGGTTCATATGGTAAAAGCAATTCTGAGAGATTTATCTACTATCAAATTGTCAACCACTTGATAGCAGAGGAGGTAAAACCATAACTGATTAATTTGGAGATTAAAATGTCATGGTCGATCACATCAAAGGCAGCACTACAGGGAGTGCAGAATTATTAGGCAAATGAGTATTTTGTCCACATCATCCTCTTCATGCATGTTGTCTTACTCCAAGCTGTACAGGCTCGAGAGCCTACTACCAATTAAGCATATTAGGTGATGTGCATCACTGTAATGTGAAGGGGTGTGGTCTAATGACATCAACACCCAATATCAGGTGTGCATAATTATTAGGCAACTTCCTTATGTATGTGTGTGTATGTTTGTGTATATATATATATATGTATTTTTTTTCTTTCTTTCCCCTGTTTGATTTTGTTTTATAAGCGCTGTTCCAGACCACACTCCACACAAGTTGGTGGCGGTAATGCACCATTCGTTGTTTGCCAACCGCCAATAAAACACCAGAAGAAGAAGAAGGCAACTTCCTTTCCTTAGGCAAAATGGGTCAAAAGAAGGACTTGGCAGGCTCAGAAAAGTCAAAAATAGTGAGATATTTTGCAGAGGGATGCAGCAGTCTTAAAATTGCAAAGCTTCTGAAGCGTGATCATCGAACAATCAAGTGTTTCATTCAAAATAGTCAACTGGGTCGCAAGAAGCGTGTGGACAAAACAAGGCACAAAATAACTGCCCATGAACTGAGAAAAGTCAAGCGTGCAGCTGCCAAGATGCCACTTGCCACCAGTTTGGCCCTATTTCAGAGCTACAACATCACTGGAGTGCCCAAAAGCACAAGGTGTGCACAATACTCAGAGCCATGGCCAAGGTAAGAAAGGCTGAAAGACGACCACCACTGAACAAGACACACAAGCTGAAACGTCAAGACTGGGCCAAGAAATATCTCAAGACTGGTTTTTCTAAGGTTTTCTGGACTGATGAAATGAGAGTGAGTCTTGATGGGCCAGATGGATGGGCCCGTGGCTGGATTGGTAAAGGGCAGAGAGCTCCAGTCCGACTCAGACGCCAGCAAGGTGGAGGTGGAGTACTGGTTTGGGCTGGTATCATCAAAAATGAGCTTGTGGGGCCTTTTCGGGTTGAGGATGGAGTCAAGCTCAACTCCCAGTCCTACTGCCAGTTTCTGGAAGACAACTTCTTCAAGCAGTGGTACAGGAAGAAGTCTGCATCCTTCAAGAAAAACATGATTTTCATGCAGGACAATGCTCCATCACACGCGTCCAAGTACTCCACAGTGTGGCTGGCAAGAAAGGGTATAAATGAAGAAAAACTAATGACATGGCCTCCTTGTTCACCTGATCTGAACCCCATTGAGAACCTGTGGTCCATCATCAAATGTGAGATTTACAAGGAGGGAAAACGGTACACCTCTCTGAACCGTGTCTGGGAGGCTGTGGTTGCTGCTGCACGCAATGTTGATGGTGAACAGATCAAAACACTGACAGAATCCATGGATGGCAGGCTTTTGAGTGTCCTTGCAATGAAAGGTGGCTATATTGGTCTGACGCCGGTTTAATTAACTAACATTTTTAGTGTACAGCGCCTTGTTTGGTTGTAATGCCTTGCTGAATGCACTTTATAAATAAAATGGTATGGTTTCGTTTCATTTCGTTTCGTTTTATTGAGATCCTCATTAGCTTCTGCCTAAGTGCAGATGCTAGTCTTCCTGGGGTCTCATACATTTTCATACAATTGTTTACATGAGATAATACCCTTTACACACAAACACACACACATTCACGCACACACATCCCTAATTCCCATAATACCAGTAGCTCAAGATGAAATCACTTATCTAGAACAAAATTACATATATAAACTAATATCGGGAAAGGAGTTAATCACACCAATAAAGATTGAAAATAAAATATAACAGAATGGTGACATCATGTCCATTGTTTCGTATCATAGTTCATCGATATCCAGTATTCGACCTCAAACACAGATTCTCAATCCTTCGTTGCGGAGTTCATAGTCACTACACAATTAAGTGTGTAAACAAAAAAAATTTCAGTTTCTTATGAAAAGAAATGTTATTACTTTCAAAAATTAAAAATCTAGGTAATGCATTCCATGCAAGCATAGCTTTATAGTGAAAAGATCGTTGAATTTGATTTGTTCTACTGCGTGGTAAAACACATTTCATCTCATTTATCTGTCGTGTATTAGAAGTATGATTATCTGAAAAAAAAACAATAATTTGCTATGTATAATTTTTGGTGTTTTTGTAATTATTATTTTCCTCACAGTTGTTACCAAGAAATACTTCAATTTACTCTTCACATCAAGCCAAGCAAGTTTTTCATGCATGGTTCCCACATTCGTTCTGTAAGGGCAGCCTAAAACAATACGAGCAGCTTTATTTTGTGCTACTTGTAGCTTATGCAAATTATTTTAACTTGTACTGGACCAAATAATAGATGCTTGATCCACACAAGAAAGCACTAATGATTGAACAAGGCATTTAAGTAAATATTGTGGTATAAATTTGCAACAAAATTTAATCATGCCCATACCTCTCCCATTTTGCGTAAAACATAATTAATCTGGCTTGTCCATGATAATTTACAATCAACTATTACTCCCAGTAATTTTACTTCTTCTAGTTGTTCCATTATGTTGTTACTCAGGGTTAAATGTAACTTTGGCATCGTCTGTAAAGTATGTTTGGAGCCAACTACCATGCATTTAGTTTTTCCTGCATTAATCACTAATTTGTTAGCAGTTATCCACTGCTCGACTGTTCTTCACTCTTCATTTAATATTTCATTCAATGCACTCTCCGTATGTGCTGAAGCTAAAACAGTAATATCATCTGCATATACTGCCTGTTGCAGCACCCACGGAAAATCATTCAAAAAAATAGAAAACAAAAACAAAAGTGGTCCCAAACAATTTCCCTGTGGAACACCACATTCCATGAGACCCTTTTCAGAAAAACTGCCATTGAAATAAAATTGATATTCTCTGTCAATAAGATAACTTTAGTCCAGTTAAGAGCAGATGTATGAAATCCATAGTGTTTAAGTTTTCGTAATAAAATATCATGATCTAAATCATCAAAAGATGCACTTAAATCAAGAAATATAGAACCAATTAGCTTATTATTATCGATATTCTCTAAGCAATAATCAGTTATTTGAATAAGTGCAGTAGTGGTTGAGTGATTGATTTGTTTTGTAAGCATGTTGATATTTTGTGTTCAATTCATTTACCTCAAAATAATCTTGAATTTGGTCATATGCAATTTTTTCCATGATTTTACTTAAAGCTGGTAGCAAACTTATTGGTCGACTGTTTTGACCAGACAGTGGTTCTCTATTGTTTTTAATTAAAGGTATTATTTTTGCTGTTTTCCATTCAGATGGGAAAATACCTTCTTTAAAACTTCCATTTATAATATGAACAATAGGACATGAAATAAAATCTACTACTAACTTTAACCATTTTATATCAATATTATCTATGCCAGATGGTTTATTTTTACTTTTTAATATTATCTCCTTAACCTTGTCTTCAGTCACTTTATCAAATTGAAATTGGCAGTTTTTATTTAATATTATTTTTTGTTTAATTAGTTGATAGGAAATATTTTTGGTTTGACTATTTTCCATAGAATCTCGTAACAACTTAATTTTATTAGTTAAAAACTAGTTTAAATAATTAGCAATTTCTGTTGGTTTAGTGAGATAAGTTCCCCCTACATCCAAAAAAGTTGGAGCTGACCTATTATGCCTACCCATCATTTCATTCAATGTACCCCATAATCTTGCACTATTCGATTTTGCATCAGTTAGTCTTTTTTGATAATACAACCGTTTTTTATGATTATTTAATTTAGTTACAAAGTTTCGTAATCTACGATACTCTTTCCATTTGTCTGGACTATTAGTTTTTACTGCTTCATTTTAAGTTTATCCCTCTGCCTCATATATTCTTTTAATTCTTCATCCAACCATGGAGCAGATACCCTTCTCACAGCACGTTTCCTTACAGGAACATGTCTGTCTAACACCTTTGTGAACAATTCATTGAAAACTGCTACTGCTTGACATGGATCATCTTCGCTTAAAACCTGTGTCCAACTTATTTTCCTCACATCTTCTATGAAGTCATCTTCATTGAAATATTTAAACATCTGTCTGCACACAA